GAGCACTTAAAGCAGTCGATAATTGATATACTGACCACTCCTATTAACAGTAGAATAATGAGGAGAGATTATGGCTCAAGATTATATCATCTATCATCTAATCGAGAATCTAAAAATATTTTAGCCAAATAACCGGAAGCTGAACCCCCTTGAGGTAACCCCTCAATCTGCTGATACCAGATTGAGTTGAATGAGAAATAATTCGCTTGATATAATATAAACTTTAACATACGTTCTAATAGGCTAATTTCAATTGGGCAACTATTACGGAACCAATCTCGTGCCATAAGATCTTGTAATACTGCCCATAATGGTTCCAATTGTGTCTTTGGATACATTTCCTTTATATCCAAAGTAATAAACACATAACCCGATATAGGTTCTAAACTTATTAAATGACCTGTTAAATGGTCCATATTATCTAGATTATTCTTAGACAATCGTTCATCTAAAACCTGTTTTAGGAAAAGCCCACACAGTTTATGAATAGGACTTATGAGCCAATCAACGGGGCTACAAATGGAACGGATAGGACAACCGTCCTTATGTATTTTCAAACTGCCATAGAGATAGGATATCTCAGGAGGACTATTTCTTTTCTCATGGAGCTCCAAATATATTGGACGAGGAAATAGTGTTGGATTCAAAACAAACAACCTGCACAAAGGCAACGCCAACCTTCGATACAATGCGGTCAAATGCCGCAGAAGCATAGCCCTATCATCCTTATAGACTATGCAAGCACCGGAGGACACATAAGAATCTAACCACACCTGAACTTTATCTATATAATCTACGCGGGGAATCAATATGGATGTTTTACCTTTATCAGCTTGCACAATGATTAAGTCACTATGCTTCCTAAGAAAGGATAAGGTAACCTGGAATAAATGGGACAACATCCTATGATATAGGGTTTGCTGCTGATGATTTAACATTGCAGCAACAAAGCATGAATAATGCAGTTCTAAATCCTCCCTATTATACATTTTCAAATCAACACCTTTTTCTAGATAACCATCGGAATAATTTTTGATAGCTACCATATAGGAGCTAATATCAGGAGGTGTAAGAGGGGAATAATTGGGTCCAAAACTGAGGAGGATCTCAACTTCCAACGGAATGAATAAACCACTCAGGTTTAAAAAACCTCCTGACACAACCTTAGGATATAGTATGCGATACTTATCCAATTCGGGAATTTCATGGCCATATAAACCAACATGAGGGGTGGAATCCATATACTGCCGGACAGTGGATATGGGGTGAGGAATACAAGAGGATGGATTTCTTGCAGACATATTTAGTAGATACACAATATATAGAACTGATGGAAAGAGTTCCCACAAATATATAATAATAACTGACACAATAAATAAAACCAAAGCACAAAAACAATAACCTTTTATAATATATACCACATAGGATTTATATATGTTAATATATAACAAAATATATATAATAATATATACACAATTTTAATATTAATAATATAAAAGATAAAAATGAATAAAAATAAAAGTAATATTACCAATATAGAATATGAAATCAAAATACGATGTATATAATAGCTTTATAATAAAATATATATAAGATAGGTCACAACTCACAAAATAATAATAACAGAATCCTCATATATAGGAAATTATCGAACAAACAATTATAGATATAATAGATTTAGCAAACTTTTTATTACAACTTTTATTACACTTTCAAACAATAAGTTTTCAAACCTCAATAGATTAAACATAACTAACAGCATAAGTATAATATCCATATATTTATACCAAAAAATTTCGTATGGAGTCTGGATCTTAATAAGACATAATAGGTAACAGATAAGGATTATTGGTAGACAAGGTTAAATATGTAATCTAAAGGGACAGGTATCATTAATATAAAAGAGATTAATTTTACCGCCATGAGACAGAAATTATACCTACATATATATAAAAACAGGTAAACATAGGGAATTAGAATACTAAGCGAAAGGTCATATATAGGGATGATATAAATGATATCAAGGGTAATTCTATACGCAAACATAATTGTAATAAATTTAAACATAAACATAAATATAAAATAGACGAAAATATAAAACATAGGTAGTGGATTATGAATTATAACTTTCTGTAAATCAGATATAATTTACAAATAAACTGTTTATTTACTATACATACAATATATTATTTTCTTACCATATTCGGAGGTTGATGAAAGGCCATATAGTTCTTTATATGTAATTCCATATCTGTAATCTGAAGCCTCTAAAGGCACATCTCCACAGATATCTTCCATATCTAAATCATCTATGCGTACATCCCGTAATTCAAGTAATGGTACGATTGTCTTCTTATAAGCGCGTACCCTTTTCTCTTCTTTGGTATATACCCGAACCATTTCTTCATTTGAACTCTCTGATAATGATGTATCCATACTATTGTATTTCATGTATATTATACTATTATATTATTAGATTACATTATATTATTAGAATATGTTATATTATCATTATTATTATTGTTATGATTGTATTAATATTATGTTACTATTATTAATGTCATAATAATGTTATTATCATGATAATTTTTGATTATACTACATGCTTATTATATATAATTTTTAGAGATAGGATCAGTTTTCATATTAATTTAAGATACACATAGTGTGTTCATGAATTATAGGTACATATAGATATGAACTCACTAGGTATCCACATTATTTCATACTAAAACCATAAGAATATCATAGATTATCTATGAAGTACAGATATGATTGTTCAGATATAGATAACTTGATATTCCGCATCTTACTAATTTTTAATTTTTAATTTTTTAATTTTTTAATTTTTAATTTTTAATTTTTAATTTTTATTTTTATTTTAATTTTTAATTTTTAATTTTTAATTTTTAATTTATTATTTTTATTTTATTTTTATTTTTATTTTATGTTTATATTATTCATATTTATAGTATCACTTCATACTGACATCATAAGAATACCATCGATTTTCCATGAGGTACAGATATGATTGTACAGATGTGGATAACTTGGTATTCCGCATTTTTACTAATATTTCTTAGTATTTTCCTTTTCTTTTATTTTTGATGATTGGATTATTTATATTTACAATATTTTATAGTATCATTTCATACTGATATCATAAGAATATCATTGGTTTTCTATGAATTACAGATATGATTGTACAGATATAGATTACGTGATATTCCGCATTTTTACTAATACATTAATAATCATTTATTTATTAATTTTTATATATATGATATTTATATTTATATATAATTAATATTATATTTATAATTAAGATAGTATTCTTTAATTTATTATATTTTATTACAACACATTTTATTCTGAATACAAAAAAACAGTTTCATAGCTAACGTTTCTATGTTGTGTATGATTGGGTTTTTACACCTTTTTGTCTGCTTATGTTTTTTTTGTCTGTCTTTACTTCTGATGTGTAGAGACGGCTATACTGTTGATTGATTGTTTGATGACTTCAGTTGTCTTTTAAGTGTTGTGATGTACGCATGTTATTGTGTACAATGTGTATGTGTTGTTATTTATAATTTTATATATATAATGGAATTTTCATTGGATGTATTTATGGTGAAATACAATTTACATGTGAGTTCATTATATATATTTTTTTGTATATTTTTATATATTTTTATATTTTATAATATCTGTATATATATGTATATTACATATACATATATTTTTCTGACTACTATTTACATGACGTACATAATAACAAAATTTATTCCATTCTGATGAGTCCGGTTGGTTACCGGACGAAACGCGTCAATGGAAACCATTGACTATAGGTTACTTTGTTGGTTTATACCAATATTTAGAATATCCCAATTAAGATCGGACGGACAATTTTAGATATGTACATGGACATAGGTCTAGGATATGAATATTAATTAATATATTTTATAAGAGTATATTATATTATAATAATTAGGTGATGCTGTGATAAACAAATTTTAATTTATTTTATTAGAATTATGGAATTTAGATTTACATATACAGAAAATTGTTGAATGTAGGGAAATTGTTTTTTGATTTGTTTTTGGTAGGTGTTTAAATGAGTTGACATAACAGAACATATAAGTAACAATGTTGTTGATTTAATTTAAATTTTAAATTTTAAATTTTAAAATATGTTTTTTGGTCTATATATGTAATGTGAATATATTGAATGATTGTTTGTTGCATTAATAATGTAATGGTATATAATATAAGATTTGTTTGTAGTTTCGAGATTTTGAGGATGGACGTGGTAATACTGAGTGATTTTTAGGTTTAGAAATATGTTTATATATATGGGGTGTTATTGTTATTTTTATCATACGTATATCCATCAATAACTTCTTTAATGTAGGGTAGATATAGTAGTGAACTATGATTCACTATCGGGAGTTTTTGTCATTTGATAAAAACACCTAAGGTTGGACATTTATACCAAAGTAATTTGGTGTAAGTGTCGAACAGAAATCAAAGCTCATTACATGAAATAATGTTTTGAGGGTTGATTTTGTGCGTATGGTGTATGGATCGTTGATCATCTTTGAGATGATTTAACGTTTCATGTACTGTGCAAGAAGAAATTATATTTATATATGCATATGAACTAAAAGAATATAGGGGAAAGTCTTGGTAACTTTGTAGTTTATAATGATTTTCATAATATATATATATATATTTACAATAAGTTGGATTATAGCAAATATTCTTATTATTATATTATTTATTAAATAATAATATATCTATATCACTCACATATAATGTGAATATTTAAATTAATTTTCAATGTTCTATATATGTGACATTTAATATCTATTATCTGATACCCACATATCACTTTTCATGTTAAAAATGATATTAGAATTCAATAAGCATCAAAAATCACGGATTATTTTCAATGCAGAAAGTATTTATAAAATAGTATCAATAGAATAGGATGTTTAGGGAATAAACACTTTTGTTCCTTCTATGGGGATACATACAAACGAGGATAAAATTAGAAGATTTAACTATATAAAAATTAAATAAATTTTAACACAGACTCCCTTATATTGTGCAAAGATACTGGTTGAGTAATTAAAGCAACATGTTACATCTATATAACCTTGATATACTTGTTTTTGAACATTTACATATAACCTAAACAATAACATATTACACCATAAACTAGGAACATAATTATATTTTTAGACATAAATAGTTTCAAATTCCCAAATATTGAATTAGGGTTAAAATACAATTTAACATATGAAGTAACCAGTTCTAGTAGATATATCAAGAGTATATTATTGAACATTTATATAAAAAATCTCAATATTACCATATGTTTTCTACCACATATATGAGCATAGTATTTGATTATAGGCATAAAAATATTTTAATATCCTAAACACAGGTTAGGGTCAGATTACAATTATACATATGAAGCAATTAGTGTTAGTAAATATAGTAAGAGTCATACAAGATCATCCATTTAGGCACATATAGCGTCATAAAAAGATAATGTATTTAAAGATATTAAATAGATAGTTATATAAATTTAGGATATGTATATTTTGTAACAAAGATATAAGAATAGTAATAAAGGGGTCCTGTATATATTTTTAAAGTCTATATAGTTTACCATCAATAGATTAACTGCTTTTATAAGGCTATGTATTTAAACCGAGTTAAGCTCACCCCCCCAGAAACAGTCTCTGGCTGTTTGACTGAAGACATCTTTAAAGGCTATCTTTTATCAAAAGAAAGTCTTTAATTATGTAAGGGTAACAATGCTAGTACCCAATAAAACAAATTTTGAACAATATTATATGTATTATAATAACAATATTTTATGAATCGACTAATGACTTTTATGTGATAGGTCAAGAAATTAATACTGTTTTTTCAAATAAATTTCAATCCTACAAATTTTTAAACAAATGTAATTGTTATTATATTAAATTAATTAGTGAAGTTTCTTATCCTATTAAACAATGTACATTAAATAATGGAGAGGTTATGTTAAGATTTTAAATTAATTTGCTTAAGAGTAAGAAATTTCTTATCTATTATCTAATACCTAATGTATCTTATGTAATAAATTATCTAATATAAATTAAATCTGTGTACAATTCTTTAGGTATTAACAAAATAAAACATTTATACATACAACTACTGTGTTATATCTTATTTTTGATTTAGTAAATTAATTTAACGTAACATATTACGACGACAATTTATTTAGTAGAATTAACAAATTTTTACTGTAAAAACAAAAGTTAAAATTCTTGAAATGACAAATAAATTGTTATTTAGTCAAAAACGATTAATTGTTATTTTAAATAATAAACTTGTTATGGTAACAATTTCGTCAAAAATGTTTACATTGTTGTGAGAACTGCTAGACATTGTTGGGTACAATATGACTCAGAAAAATACTTGAAACAAAAGTCAAAATTGTTGATATTACAACTTTTTTTTTTCAGTGTAGCTGCTTATCTGACAAATCTAGATGAATGTAGTTCAACCGAAAATGAAAGTGAAATAGAAGATGTGGTATTAGAAGATGATATTCAAAGTGACGCAGAAGATGAAGATCTTAATGTGCAGGAGAATCGCGAAAATGTATCACCAGACCCGGAACACGAAGAAACCAAAAATAACAGTTCTTCTTTAGGCAGCCGGATAGTAAGAGTACTTCAGCCAACATTAAGAAGCAAAAGCCAATATTGCTGGACTACCTCGAAGGGAAGAAATGCTGGTAGAGTTCTATCGATGAATGTTGTTCGAGCAATAAGAGGTCCCACAAGAGCATGTAAAGTCTTATGTGATCCGATTTCGTCCTTCAATGCTTTTTTTACTGATGAAATAATATCAGAAATAGTTCAGTGGACAAATGCAGAAATATCTCTAACACGAACAACTAATTTAACAGGCAAGACGTTCGCAGATACAAATTGTCTTGAAATTCGTGCTCTTCTTGGCATACTGAATTTGACCGCAGTATTGAAGGACAATCACTTGTAAGCTAGTGAGCTATTCAATACAACCTATAGTGGAGATAGGTACATACTTGCTATGAGTCGTGATAGGTTCAACTTTTTAATTAGTAGGCTGCGAACGGATGATAAAGCATTGAGACTTGCTCTGCGCCCCACCGATGCTTTTGTACCTGTGTGAATGAAGATCACCCTGTTGAGGGCGAACAATGAGAGTAGTTAGTAGTTGTCGCCTACCTCTCAACGAGTGCTGTCACGTTGAACGCAGTCGCCCGCGGTATAACATACATTTTTATTTATATTTTGTAATATTCAAAAGGTCTACACCTAAATAAAACATTAAACAAATATTTAGTGTCTGAAGCTCTTATTTTACACCTGTTAGAAAGGTGTGGGATCTCTTAATAAAACAGTGCAACGATAGTTATACTCCAGAAAGCTACAACACAATTGACGAACAGCTGTTAGCTTTTCGTGGGCGTTGTCCTTTCAAAATGTATATACCTAGTAAGCCGAATAAGTATGGCATAAAAATCGTTATGATTTGTGATAGCGCTACTAAATATATGTTCAATGCTATCCCATATTTGGGCAAGACAACAACAACTTCAACGATGCCATTAGGTGAATATTTCGTGAAGGAGTTAACCAGGCCAATACATGGTACTTGTCGCAACATCACTTGCGATAATTGGTTCACCTCCGTACAACTAGCAAAGAGTTTGTTAAAAGAGCCATATAAGTTGACCATTGTTGGAACAATAAGATCCAACAAGCGAGAAATACCTGAGCAAATGAAAAATTCGCGCTCACGACCGGTTGGCACAACAATGTTTTGCTTTGATGGCCCCTTAACTCTAGCGTCATATAAGCCTAAGCCATCAAAGATGGTCTATTTGCTATCTTCCTGCAATGAACCAGGCACAATAAACCAAACTTCTGGAAAGCCTGACATTATACTACACTACAACCAGACAAAGGGAGGTGTCGACACATTCGACCAGATGTGTTCACTCATGTCATGTTCCAGAAAAACAAATAGGTGGCCCATGGCAGTATTTTATGGCATGCTTAACATTTCGTTTATAAACTCGTACGTCATTTACTGCCATAATATGATTTCCACAAACAAAAAGCCCTTGAATCGAAAGGAGTTTATGAAGGTACTCTCTATGTCATTAACAATGCCTTGGATGGAACAAAGACAGGAAATACCAATATTGTCCAAAAGTTTGCGATGCAGTAATACAGCTACTATGCCTACGGAAGCACCCAACCATGATAGCAACAGTAGCGAAGAACCATCCTCTTCCAAGAAAAGAAAATACTGCGCGTTTTGTCCATCGAAAATTCGTCGTATGTCCAAAATGAAATGTTTTAAGTGTGAAAAATCCGTATGTAACGAACACAAAAATTTACTTTGTAACTCATGTATATAAATATTTAAAATATGTAAAAATGTAAAATGTAAAAAAAATATGTAAAAAAAAAAATAAAATTTATTCTAATACTTAAACAAACATTTAGTTCCTTTCAAGAAGACTGTCTTTTTATGTAGGCGTTTTGAAACAAACAAAACTCGTCAAAAAAAACAAAAGAAATAAAAAAAGTAATTGAAAATATATTGAACTTTATTTAATAAGTAAGAAACAAATAAATTATCTAAGTATAAAGTTTTCAGATATCCAATAAAAGCCCAAAGCCAACGATACATCTGCCAGACGTATCATTATGATTTGAAGGGTAAAAAATAACGTTATGAATGCAGGGTTAATAAAATATATATTTTTAAAACGATTAAACAAGAATCCGTTTATTAATTTGCATACAAAAAGCAATTGCATAGTTGGGAAACTTATTTGGAGCAGCTTCATCAACACTTTTCAGCACACTCTGTGGACAAAGGTAAATATAAATCATTTTTTCTGACCTGGATAGGCACAGAAACTTATGACATTTTGCGCAGTAACCTTGGTTCAAAGGGAATAGAAACTAAAACATATGATGAGTTAACAAAAGGTTTAACAGATTATTTTCTGGCAAAAACGCATGTTGTGGCTGCCAGACATGAATTTCATAAAGCCACAATGCGTTCCGATCAAACTTACAGAGAGTGGATCACAGATTTACGCAGAGTTGCGAGGGAGTGTAAATTTGTTTGCAGCGCATCTACAAAAAACAAATCCCACACTCTCTGAAGTTATGTTAATTGCTGAGGCTATGTCAACAAGAAACAACAAATTCGGAGCAAAACTCAATATCACAAACTAATTCAATTTTGAATGTGAAAAATCTGCCGCAACGAGAAAACAAAAAAGTGTTTATAAACATTATAGTTGATAATACGCAAGTTAAATTTCAGATGGATTCTGGAGCAACTGTTTCAGTGTTGACGCAAGACACTTATGAGCACTTAAATAAACCACAGTTGTATCCATGTAAAAAGGAGCTATTTGATTATGGAAAAAACAAAGTAAAGACGCTTGGTGAATTTTGTGCAGTGCTAAAGTGTGGAGAAACGAAAAGAACAGCAACATTAGTAGTAGTATGCGTCCGGAATGGTCATAATTTGTTTGGCACTGATCTATTTGAACTTTTTGGATTTGAGATTCGTCAAATTGCCGTTACAAACAATGATTCTCAATTAAATGAAGTATTGGAGAAACATAGAATTGTTTTTGAACCTGCTTTAGGTACAATTAAGCAAGTTAAGGCCAGGTTGCATTTAAAACAGGGTGCTGTACCTAAGTTTTGTAAAAGTAGGCCGATTTCATTCGCACAATTACAGAAACAGAAGCACAAAGATTAACGGATAGGGGCATTTGGAAACCCATAAAATTTAGTCAGTGGGCTTCGCCAATTGTATTGGTTACAAAACCAGATGGATTGTGTTAGTTGTCAATACACCGCTGGGGCTTTTTCAGTATCAGCGTCTGCCTTTTGGTATTGCCAGCGCATCTGCGTTATTTCAGAAGTATTTAGAACAACTTATACATGGTACAGAAAGGTGTGGAAATTACATTGATGATATCATAATCGCTGCTGAAACGGTTGACATCTTAAGCGGCTGGAGGAAATATTATTACTTTTAGCTGAATATGGCATTCGTTGCAGGCGAACGAAATGTGAGTTCTTGGTGGAAAAATTGGAATATCTAGGCAGAACCATCAGTGCAAGTGGTATTTTACCTAATGAAAAGGGTGTTCAGGCTGTAAAGCAGTTACCGCGACCGAAAAACGTAAAAGAAGTCGAATCGTACTATCATAACTTCATTCCAAATTTTTCACAATTGGCTGCGCCTATCAATCACTTACGTAGAAAAGATATCAAATTTGTTTGAGGCACCGATCAAGAGCAAGCTTTTGAAGTTTTAAAGCGACACATAATAGAAGCAACTGAGTTGTCACATTTTCAAAAACATTTGCCTATCGTTCTTGCTACTGATGCATCATTTTATGATATTGGAGCTGTCATTGCTCATCGACATCCGGATGGCTCCGAACGACCTATTGCATTTGCTTCAAAAACACTTAACCACTCATCAAGCTCGTTATAGTCAAATCGAAAAAGAAGCACTTTCGATTACTTTTAGGTAATAGTAGTTTTAAGGTTTTATCTATTTTGAGGCGCAGGACAACCCTCGCCGAATTTGGCAACGCGAAAAAAAGAAAAGGTTTTTTGAGCGGCAGTAAGCAAGCAACAACGACGGTGAAAAGAAGTAGTAGAGAGAGCGCAAACGGTCGTCCGGTTAAAAGAACCTGCGTTGATTTGTATAACGAAAATTATTTGTGTTAACGTATATATAAATACATTGTGCAGGCTTATATACATATACACTATTCAATTGTATCATCTGATACACTTAAGCTCTTTTAAAACGCTCCGGCGAAAAAGGTGTTTGAAGCAGTAGTTGGCGGAAGAAGACGTAGAGGTAGACCGTGTCTCCGGTGGAGTGATCAAGTTGAGGGAGCACTAACTGGACTTGATATACGAGACTGGAGAAGGCGCGCACGCAGCAGAGGCACCTGGGGAGACATGCTGCGTCAGGCCGAAACTCGGTAACGCGTTGTTATGGCCACATAAAAGAAAGAAAGAAAAGTCAGTCTTGGTCCAACTTGCAATTGTAACAGATTTAACTTTACCAATAAGTATAAATTTAAAAGTCTTCATTCGTGTAGTATTATTTCATATAAGTCTTGTTTATGTTTTTTAATATATAAAAACAAAATCATTTATCCAAAAATCCCATTACAATTGATACAAAGCTGACACAGCATATTCTTTGTTTACACAGCTGCATCTGGAGTTTAAGGCTCAAGAGCAGTGCATATAAAAATTGCTTATAAATTATATAAGCAATATAAATATATATTGTATTTTATTTTAATATATTATTAATATATTATAAATTATATTTCATATTATAAACAATAACATATAGTTTTGCTAAGCTACACACTGTATTGTAGCTAAACACAATATATATATACAATTGGCTTAGGATAAGAAAATCCAAAAACTGTATCTGTTAGTTATTAAGAAACAATGAATGAATAAAAAGAAATAAATTAATTTGCATACCTAACGGATGTAGTTAATAAATAATAATACAAAATAATATTTTGTTTTATTAATCATATTAAACAAAAATTTGTTTTATTGGGAATAACACTCAACAGGGAGTAATCACACCAGAGACTATGCCAAAGACATCAGCATTAAAGCCGCATGTTTCAACGAGAATATCTGAAGAAAATTTTCAGTATCATCAATTTGCAATTAATTTTCGAAATAATGATATATCCAAGTAAATAACGTAATGCAAGTAAATAACTTTAATAATTATCGAGTTAATTTCGGATCAATGCATGTGAATAAATTCACAAAAATCATACAAGATATTAACGCAATATATAAATAAACATGAGTATACATTTTTCTAAAAAGCAAGTCAATATATAACATTGAACCAATAATGTAAATCGGTAGAAGCATTAGGGTTTTTAACACTCATAGTAACTTTCTTAAATACAGATTTCATATGTGTGGCTAACAACCTAGAGAAGTATGGTATAAATCTACTTCCATGGCTTTTAACCATCAATGCTTGTACATAATTTAATTTTTAACAAATTATCTATATTATATGACAAAGGGCATATTAAAATGTAAATAAGAAAATTACTTATTAGAATATTAAGATCCATATTGTGATTTTTTCTACAATCTTTAGATTTAATATAAACGAGTTCATTAATGTTATCCGAACATATCAAAATATATCAGATTTGTGGTAAAAAAGAAGGTATTAAAAAAATATATATATACATCGAATGACAAATTTAACTTCACTAGAAAATGTTTTGCATATAATTCCTATAAGGATATTCGGTTGAAATTTATAACTTATAGTCTAAATTACTTTACACATAAGTGAATTATATCAATATATATCAGATTTGTGGCAAAGAAAAAGGTAATAAAAATATATATATATATATATATATACAATGACTGACATATTTAAGGCATTTTTGATATAAAATATTTTATATATAATTCCTTTAAGGATATTCGGTTGAAATTTATAACTTATAGCCTAAATTACCTTACACGTAGGGCATATATCTGTTAATATGATCTCGTCATCTAAATATAATTTCGCCTTCAGTACTCATACTGAATGAGTTTTGCTGTGTGCTAGTCCGTAGTTGTCATTGATTACGAATTAGTTTAAAATTTAAACTCCCGAGGCTGAGCTTGACTTGTAGAGGATGAAACGCTTCTTTGTCACTAATTGTCTTCAACAATATTTATAAATTTTCAAAATCAAACATCTGCAAGGTTCTGTTTGTTGAACCGAATTTGTATTATATTTTGTTGAGAACATTCGTAGTATTCGAATTCACATGCAATAATCCGATAATTGTTGATCGTATGTGATTGATAAACATCACCATCATCAACTGGAACGGCACTTCGTCAAAAAACTTTTGAATTCTATCGGTGGTTTATGAGGTACCAATTTTGTATATTTTGTTGAGAACATAACACTACGTAGCATTCGAATTCGCATGCAATAATCCGATAATTGATGAGCATATGTAACATCATAATTATCAATCACCATCACCATCATCAACTGGAACGGCACTTCGACAAGAAACTATGTGAATTCCAATTTTGTATTAAATTTTGTTGAGAATATAACACTCGTAGCATTCAAATTGGCATGCATAATGCGATAATTGTTTATCGTATGTGATTGATAAACATCACCATCATCAATTGGAACGGCACTTGGACAAGAAACTTTTGAATTCTATCGGTGGTTTGTAAGGTAATGTTCTTCTTTGTCTTTCTGTATATGAACATGTACTGGTACTGCTGGAACAGTTTAAGTTCGTCGAACCAGTTGTGGTGGTGGATGTAGTATTATCAATAAAACTAGCTTCTATCTAGTTTATCTTTGTTGCTGAATTGGAATTAATTGACTTCCTTGCGGTAGAGATAACAATTTCTGCGCAATACTAGACAATAATAATTTATTATCAAATTTATTGAATATAATTCAATAGTAGAATTTTGCAAGTAATTGTTAAGTTGTTTTAAATTAAATATTGGTACTGTTTGATGATAATTGTTGTACTGATCAGCTACTTAGTTTTTGATATTATGTATTCATAATAGGTTTATTTCTATTTTTTTTTTTTGTGTTTATGCTGCATAAATGATTAATTTTTTAAAACAACGCCGTTGTAAACATTTATATGTAGTGTTCTTTTCAAAGACATGTCCTGTGGTAAAAGATTTACATTATCTAAATGAAGCCCTCCACAGAAGTGTATCACTATCAGCAATATTCACTCTGCATTTTAGTTTTTTGCAATTTCTGCAATTGCGTCTTAAATGCAATTGAGACGCTATTCATATTGCCGGGCTTCATTTGTTGTGCAATTCCATTGAATTGCAGGGTGATACTTCACACATCTGAAGACATCCACGTACGAATCCAAATATTTTCTACAAATAAACATAAAAAAATATTTCTTAATTAAAAATATATATATATTTAAAAGAATTAGTTATATATATTTAATATTGAACTAGTTTACCTTTTCACATAACTCTCCGGCGGCCATATTTTACTCAAACGCTATGAAAAAATTTTATCACCGCACATGATATATATTATACAACATTTAAACTCCGATTG